AGACACTGCGGACCCACTTTCCTGCCTTAACTTCTACTTTGGCTTTAGGGAGTTTGGCGAAGACAGTCTCCTTGTGTTCTCTCAGCATTTTCACTGGCATTCTAGAGTGTTTTTGCGGTTCTTACTTTCTTAGCGTATATCGGTACCCGCAAAATGTGATAAATTAAAAACAAATACTAGAGGCACCCTCGTCAGCGGCAAGCCACTGGCTCGAAAACGTTCGTGCCTGGTTCAAGATTTGCGAGAGCTTTGCATACATCTGAGCCTGCGTCAGTGAAAACAAAAGCCGTCGTATTATTTTACGGCGGGCTTTTTACACAGGCAACTTGAAGTGCAACCAAACTTCTATTTAAAAACCTATAAGTAGGTTGTACATATGTCGCGAGTGACCTTCTGTTCGAATGTGTGACCGTTGAACATGGATATATAAATTCAGGGCTTATTTTTGGACATTAGACTATATTTCCGTAAACTACAAGGAAGTTGATTTTTCTATCCAAGAAGCAGGAGTGAAGAAGGGTGCGACACGCGGAGGTATCGAGGCCTTGCTGTGTGCCGTTCCCTTTTTGTCCTCATTCTAAAATACTGAAAGTTCTCTAACGTGCCTGTCACAGAGTGGGGGTCAAAAATATAAAAAAGTTTTGACCGCCTTTAAGGTCAAGTGAAAAAATTACTCAAGAAGAACAGAAGAGATACCTTGGACCGGTGAGTAGCGATTGGGCAACGCTAGGTGTAAAACAAAAAAACAAAAAACAAAAAAAAAGAAAACAACGGAAAGAGACGAGGACACGAGAATATAACAACCTAAAAACTAAATTTAATACTGGACTAAGATCAGCCGCGCACGGCAACCCCAACACTGCCAGAGAGACACCCCAACCGCGAAGCTACGGATCTCGTGAGAGCCAGAGATGAAACGCAGGAACTCAACACACATGAAACAAAACCAAGAAAGAAAGATAAAAACAGAGACGGCAAACTCAACGCTGACCAAACAAGGAAAGCAACCGATTGAGCGAGAACGCTACCGCTACACCACACAAAATCAACCCACCCCTCCCCCCCCCCCCCAACCCCCCCCCCCCCCCCCCCCCGGATATACGCCGCTGCATCTCACCACGCGGAAATATAACAGCCTCGACGCGGATATATTTTCAGCATTTCGATGGGCTTACTGTACCCCAGCCTCTGTATTCTCCCCTTTGAATTAAGAGACGGGGCTGTCATCAAGTATTCTCCTAGACTAAGCGAGAACTTGTTGAGACAGCCGTGTGTGCTGTCTCGGCGGATCAGGACCACGACGGGACAGTACGGGCAGTGCGATGCGTAACCGCTCTGAGTCGCGGTGGGGGGAGAGTCCTATTGCTATCAGAAAAATTGGCGCTGAAGCGCGTTGTCTTATGCAAATTATCACGATTAAATCTATTCTTTTCAGTAAAGTATTCAGCCATATCGTTAATCGGTGCGAGGAGCACGCCATGGTACCTCGCTGCGGGCTTAAGCTGAGCTAGTTGGTTCATTGCTTTCGATGGGCCAGCTGAACAAAGATAACAGCACACACAAAAACAGTTAGAATGGTGTTTTTTGTGTGTGGTGTAATCTTTGTTCAGCTGGCCCATCGATATCTCGCTACTTTTCATTGTTTACTGACGGTTGTAGAGCCGCATTCTTGAACACCTCCGGAAATCGCCAGGATGGGAAAATGTCTTCATTCTCACAGAGAAGATGATTCTGCCTCTATGGCCATGCTCCCATCAGGAGGCATGCCCAAACCGAATCAACCAAACAAGAAGAGACGGGGCGGCCTTCATTAGACAGAATACATATTGGCTTCCTGAACACTGGGAGGGCACTGTAATGAATCTAAACATAGCTCGCAAAGGCGTAATATCATAAGCCTGACACACAACATGTTGTGCTATACCCTGTTTCTCCTTAAAGGGGCACTGACACCCCAAAGGTCGTATTATTTTTTATTTTCTAAAACGATGTAACTTATAGTCATAGACACGCAAAAGAAAAAAAAAACGCATCGCGAAAGAAAATTTTTCGCGCGCGCGCGCCTTTTTATTTTTGGCGTTTATATTTCCCGCGCTCACCTCCTTGCTTCTTTTGATCGGTGACGTCAAAAATCAGGAAATTTAGAAGCTTTGTAGGCAACATTTCTATAACATTTAATAACGGGAATCGTAAAATATATTTCTAACGCAATGGACTTCTTCCAAAACCGACGCGCCCCATCGCGGCGAAATACCACGCAGTGCACTCTGGGAACTAGTTGGTGGCTCAGTTTCGGTTTCGACTGAGCAGCTTCATCTCATGCTTTCACGCCGGGACCGAACGCGCTGCTTGCGTTTTCGATTATCTGACTTTTCTTGAACGTACAATACACTCATTCTCAAGCGATACAAAACGAAGACCGGGGCACTTTTCTTGGTTCCCGAAACACCAGATATTATGAGTGCGTATGCAAACGTAGTAAGACGTGGCTTAGTCACCTCACCCCACGAGTGCATCTTTGAGTTCAATTTCAATAATCCCGTCTAGTACGAGTGAACTAGAAATGAAATTTGTTCATCTGGAGCCTTTCACCTATTTTGTTTGCCAAACGTCCAGTTCTTATTACTTCATTTGGCAAAAAGCAAGCCGCATTCTCACAGGAGTATCAAAGTTGAGCCCAGCGTTGACGCATGAACTTTTAAGGAAACGCAATAAATTCGACTTCACTACTGCACAAAAGTTACTATGATGTCTTCCTCGTGTCATCATAAATCTCCAACTCAAATTTTATGCTGATAGAAGATTAAGTTTTCGCAAACGCTGAGCTCGGCTAGCTACGACGGAAGCCCTAACAAGCGTCCCCTATACTCCTTGCTAAGCCTTTTTGGACGAGCTTTTATACTGACGCCCAAGATCTGTGCCTGAACGGTGTGTTTGAAATTATCTCGACATACTCAGGCAAGAATAAAGCAAACACATAACAAATACTATGGCCATTAGCAACCGTCAAACGCGCTTTGAATAATTTAGTTCGTTTGGCGCACCGCATAGGGGTTCATGCCCGTCCGGCGCACTCCCGGCGAACGGCGCGACATTCTTCACAGAAGTTCTCGACTTTTGCTTTTTAAAAACGGTCTGTATGTCCGAATGTGCCTATATGATTGCAGGATAACTTTATGCGCATACGCCATGTTGAACATTACTGGAATGCAAGCGGGTGGGGACCTTACTTCGTGCAGTGCTGCGGGTCAGTACAGGTAAGAGATAAGAAGTCTGTTAAAATTGAGCTTTTCAATGGCGCCTCCGAGTTTTACCTCGCGTACTCGGACGTATTAAGAAAAACAGTAATTGCAAAAAGGGATATTTCGTCTATGGACGCACGAAACAAACTTCCTGATCAACAACACCAATGTAAAGGCGCGAGCTCAATGTATGCATACTTATTGGTTGCTAGAACTTGTTGATTCGTAAACAAGCAAGATCCCCGAGCTTCGCAGCGTCGAGATTCCCAGCACTGGCTCGTCCACATACCTCGATTGGAACGCTAACAAAAAGGCTCAAGTACAAAAATACAACAAGCATAAGTTAAGACAAGCTATACGTCTCGGGCCTGTCTAAAGCTTCGAGGTCTGGTTTAGAGACCACAAATGACGCTCTCGGGACCAGAAAACATGAGATAACTGCCGTTAATAGTCCACGCTCTGTGTATAATCTCTCGTCGACGTGTCGATCGAAACCGAAACCATGCCACCCTCCTCCCTGGCTGGCCAACTAGTTCCCAGAGCGCAACGCGCGCCGTGTTGCATGTAGGGCTTTATGGAAGTAGTCTATTGCAAACGCACTACGGCTCTTTTTGAAATACCAAAAATCTGAGTTCGGTGTGATGTCGCTTCCTGGATTTGTATCCTCCCTCGGAAAACTTGGCGGCGCTCGAGCAGAGGCTGATCGGCGAGTCGGGGAAGAAACCGGTTTTTTCCCGTGCCGGTGCCCTTCTATCCCGCCTGGTCTCCTTCTTTTCGCTTCGGGTCGCTGTGGCAACGGAGGTCCCAAGCAAAGTAGAGTCACAGGAGACCGCAACATTTGACTCACTGCACTGGCGCGGATCGCGCGGGAACTTTAAATTCGGCATTTGAAAATTGTTTTTTTTCTTTTTTTTTTAATTCAGATATACTGAATTTCTAAGTTTCGAATTTTGAGGGTAATGTCCCGGCATCGTTTTCAATCGTTTCGGGTAATAAAAAAAGCATGATTTTGATGAATCAGTGCCCCTTTAAGTCTGGCCGCAGCGGACGCTACAAGCCATCCCAGCCGATCCAGCTCTGTGACCATAGCTGTTGATTACGCTTTTCTCGTGTCAGGGCACTTCCTCTCCAAGGTCACGGGAAACTCAAGTGGCCTTGAATTGACTTCGATGGCTCGCTACATCCGCTGTGTCCGAACGTATGAAGGAACGTAGCAGAATTATATTATTAACTCCTCCAAAAACCTATAATACACAGCGAATACAATAATTCGAACTGGAAACATAACGATGTCGTTCTAGTGCCGCCAAAATAATCATGGTATTATTGGACAGATAGCTCATCAAACTTGTTGACTGGAATACTCAGCCAACCCGGCAAGGTTCCAGGCTAAAGTCTTGGGATTGGACGCATGTTAAAATATGTTACAATCTGGTTCACACTGATCAATAACGGATATTTATTTATTTATTTATTGATCCTTTGGGAGGGAGTATATAATACTCTTGTACTGGGTCTGCCAGTGGATATAAACACCGGAAAATAAACGACCATATATGCCGGGTTTTAGATAGTTAGGAAGAACACAAAATGGCATATGTGTTGTTTTCTTTTATTGTACCAGTTTGACAAAACGGGCTTGGACTTGTAAAACAGATGTAAGTGCATCAAATTAATTTTTATACTCTTCTAGTTTAACTTACATTGCTTCCCACTGCTTAACCTAACGTTCTGAATTTCTCAGAAAAAGAAAATGGGCTAGATCCTCAAGCTACCAGGATAAAGTCCCCCTGAATTTGAGCCAGCTGGTCTATCGTTGTTTAGCATGATCACCCTTCCCTCTTCTGGCGTCTTTATCGGTGACATCTTCCGAACGTAATCAGTGAACACTTCTACATCCATTCGTCCTGAAAATTAAATTCAGCTTGTTAGGTCACAAAAATTACTGAAAAGGTTCTTATCTATTCTCTGTTCCACACAAATATCTCAACTATACAACAGGGATGTACCTTCGCTGCACTTCTACTGTCTTAGCATTTCCTTGTTATGGTAACGTAAAGATATTCGCGACTCCGGCGGCCTATAGGGGGCGCCACCATCAAACAAACATGGCGGCTGAGTTCAGGTCGCCTGAACAGGTGGCGCGTTCAATTTAACAGATCTTCTTTTGATTAATGCCCAATTTTATAGGTATTTCAACTGAGACGGTTAAGTGTAGCCGGCGCACATAAACTTGCAAAGCGTAGTTTTGTTTTCCCGGTGTTTTTTGTTCTTTTCATGTCAAACTTTCGTTTCGAAGATTTCGTTCAAAACCGAAACTATGGGTTCCGGAGAGATGGTAATATACTAATCAGTTTTGATCATCTAAGGAAAGCGGCGATGACTACAGAATTGTTCCACCGAGAGTAATTTTCAGCTAACTTGCATGCCTCGACCATGCGACTTATCTGTCCGCGAAATCGAGCTTTTGTGCGTATCCGCGTTTAAGAAACAGTTCCAGTCGTCTGCTCGGTCAACAACACAGGCTGCAGGAAAATTAAGAAAATTAAGAAAGCACTTTTTGAGCGGCCCGCCGGCGCCGCACTAAGCAGCTGATACTCGTATTTCAATTCAGGTTTTAGTAGCGATCGAGAATTCATTTTGACGAGCTGGCTATGTATTATATTACGTACTATGGGGGTCCCACTAAAGCGATATTAGTATAATCTTCGGGTTGAAATATGAGATTAGTTGACTAGCTATTAGGTGAACTGCTGAATAAAAGTATATTTGACAGAAAAAGAGATACTACTTAAACTTAGCCAAAGGGTTCTAGCCGGCAGCACGGAGACAAACTGAAGAGAGTCTTCATCGGAGATTCACGCAGAATCTCTCTGCATTGAACTTTGCCTCGAGTCCTGAACGGAGAAAATTTGTATTTTTTGTGGCCGGGCAACCTGAGCAATGTAGACGTATATTGCTGCTGTCTTCGACGGGGGTATAATATAAATATTGGAGGCGCGATAGATCATAATGCCGGGACAGCTTCTAACGTTGCGAGACGCGTCCCCCACCTTTTGAAAACAGATCATTTTCCTCATTCATCATTCGCAGCGAGCAGGATTTCCTGAATCAAGTAATGGCGAAATCAGCCCAAACTCCTTCAGTGTGGTCCAGACTCTTTTTCGGCGAAAATCAGCCAAGATGAATAGCCAACGCATCGACCGGCGTGGGTGGCTCAAACTTGAAGCTAATCAAACACAATGAAACTCAAGAAAAGCAGCTATTGAACGTTCCCATTCACTTGATTGCAACATTGGTGTTCCCTCCAGTGAAATGCCTCGTCTGTCGTCCTCAGTCGACTGTTCTACAGCCTTATAAAGAAACCACATATCATTTACCAAGTAGTCGTCACTTTGAATGTCATTCGAGGCGGACAAGAAATCAAAACGTTTTCCCGTGATTCCTCCCCACCCGAGGAATCAAAAGCACGCGACCGTGTGTTGTGAAGTAAACGGGCTTTCAAACACGTGATGGAAGGAAACAATCTACTGGGGCTTCACCACACTAATGAACACTCAGGCAAACTTAAGGAATATTCGGAACTAATTACATTGTTCGCCACCGCGCCGACAACACGTGTCCACGAAAGTCACCGGAGACGCGATGGGGCGCGGAGCGACCTGGTCCGGCTGGTTCCCAGTTTTCCCGCTTGGTGGCGTCCGTTTTGCTGGAGTCGCGAATTGCTAAACCAAATCTGATAGGATAACTATGCTGCCACACAATCGGCAAGTGCCTAAAACTAAAACTCAGCAATTTTATTGTTGGCTTAAAATGAAAGACGTTTACAGTTCCCTATAATGACAAGTTCGAGTGCAGCTCTTGAGGAGGAGGAGGGGAGGGTACGGACCGGAGAGTATGCCTCTCCTCCTCACCTCCTTCTCACGCCTACTCTCCTTCTTCTCCTCCCTCTCCCCTCCTCCTTTCCTTCTCCCCTCCCTCCCTCCTCCCTTGTGACGTCACGCATGAAGGCCTCCAGAACGTCGTAACCTTCGTAACTTCCCTCGTGACGTCACGTGTGACGTCATTATGGGAAACGTCCCATAATACAACGCGCGTTCACGCCGACGGCGACAACGACGACGCTCAAGCGGGAAACGGGCGCCTAAGAGCTGCGCCTAAATAATTACTTTCTTTTTAAGCTATACAGATATCAGTTACACAGGAAAATTCCTTTATATCTGGACTCACGATGAAGCCCCACTAGAGAAAAATAAGAGTTTTACGAGGCTAAACAACACAAAAACTGGTTAAAACTGTATTGCTAAAATGCTTATTTAGACGGAAGAATCTTGGAAATTTAATTTATCGCCATGTTCACAGGAGACTGCACTCAGTAGGTAAATCCTTCATTAGCAAAAAGTAAACCACATTAAACGGCCTTCAAGATGGCTCTCAAATGTTTTCCTCTTCTCAAGTGCACTGTAACCACATTAACTACAAACCCGTGGAAATTTAGAGTTTTATTAAAGTGGATTGTGCAGTCCATTAAAATTATCGCAGTGGTGCTCTATTTGTTTAGTACTCTATGTGACAATTATAGAGTTTCAAAGAGCACGCAGATTTAACTCAGAATCTTAAGCTCGAGAGCATAATAAGAGAGACAAAGAACTCAACGCAGTAATTATACACATCGAGGGTAATTGCAAGGGCCTCTAAAGTGGAAATAGCGACAAATGATTCCAAAATATTGAGGAGTGACATGGAACAGACGACTTACCGCGCCGGGAAGTTTTGGTTAAGATTAATAAACGAAACTCAAGTATGCCCCGGATAAATATTTTAACAATGTCACAAAGCATCTGAACTTTGTTTTACCTTCACTCTAAAAGCTCTTGCGTAAAATTTGCCTAATGTCAAAGCCCCTTATGTTATGCGATAGCTTGCGCGTTTTTGTTTTTACGTATTTTTGGGGTGAAACCTTTTCTTTTTTTCTAGTAAGCTCGGAATTAAACAGGCAAAATTAGGGTTCGGAATGATTTCGCTAAGAAACCGCATCATTGTTGATACAAAAATTAGAGATAATCTCTGGTTAAATATTTAAATATAGGTAATATAACCAAAGTTCAACATATTACTAACTTAAACTTGGGATTTTTTGTAATTTCAGGACTGGGAACAAGACTAAGCTCTGAGTGCTGTATTTCTGGTTGGGGCCTTGCGTGGTGACTTTAATTACCCTTTTTCCAACTACCTTCTTTCACCTTCGTAAAAATAAATTATTTCAATCAATAAGCAAACCACATTATAAATTTCATAGGAAAGCTTAGAATGCAGCTGCACATTTCATGACCCTTATAAATTTCTTAGTTTGAAAACATTCACTTAAAACCATCATTTCTAGTTTTTTTTACTGGTATTATTTTTATTTGAACAATTTTAACTGGATCTAGCTGCTATCAACCCGAGCACTGCTGAAAGCAGATTCTAGATATGCTGAAAAGAAATACTAACGCAAAACATCTACAGTTTAACTGTAATGAGGCCTGAAGAGGAAACAAAGACATACATAAAGCGGATGCACCAGCAACTGTAGTTTTTCACAGTATCGAGCAAAGTGTTGTGCTATGTTAGAGATAGTGTAGCGCGTTATTTTTGGATTATGTAGCTACCAACATAACTAATTACTTTTTAGAACGAATATCAAGTATTCCCACACTGCACGACATAAAAGCGACTTTCTTGACCCAAGTTTGTCAATCCTAGGATCATATGTTAGGCTAAATAAGGTTTTACTCCAAGCTCTTAGTTTGGTTTCCCATATAATTTCCAATGTCTCAAACTCGGGTCAAAGATTCCGCAAATCACGCAAACGAATGACAGTCAAGCCTAATTCTTGCAGTTGCCTCTCAATTTAGATATTAAGTTGCCGGGTGAAAACTGAATAACCAGAAAGTAAGCCTAATTTTGACATTTTCTTGAGAACTGAGGTCTAACAAAGTCAGATGACAACCAAACAACCAGACAGTGAAGCCTAACTCTGGCATTTTATTGGCAGTTAAGTGTTAAAATAGCCAAGCTCTGGTCATATGTGATGAATTTAGGTTATATATACTAACCAAAAACTGCTAAAAAATAACAAAAGACAGGCAGGAGTAGACACGACAAGCGCTGGCTTAAAACTGAATTTTACTACGAAGGAACATAATGCCGTTGAACCACCAAAACACCAAACACTGCATATCTTCCTATATCATCAAACTATTTACAAACTGGCTTCAAAACGACAGATGTACGCAATCTCGCTGCTAAACAAAACGATAAACGGAGAGCTGACACGCATGCTCTCCTCGCATCGTGACCTGCTGAACGCCTCCACTACCTCCCTGGTTCTTTGATTGGAGTGTCGCGTCACAATTGCAATGTCAATAAAGCGTGACACCCCCGCACCTGTCAGAGTGTACCGCAAATGACTGGAAGATCATTTGATGGAACGCTATGGTTATACCTTGTTTTTTCAGCTTTAAGGGCGCTTAATTGCCAGACAAAAATTAATTTTCCCCCAAAGGGACGTGGGTGAACCCGACACAACATTCCACTACACTACCCTTTGTTGGGAACAGTTGTTGGGAACATTCCACCACGCTACCCTTTTTTGGGAACAGCCCATGTTGTCTTACAGGGCCGTATTAAAAGCTTTTTGCTGCCACTTGGAATGTTGTGTCGGGCTCACCCACGTCCCTTGTATATTTCTATACATGTGTTGATATACTAATCATCTGATCTCTTCTAAATGTATCAAATAAGATGTACAGCTTACCCTCTGTCTCCTTCGACTGTAGTACCTCTTTATCAAATTTGAATCCGTCACCTCCTCCCGCGATGAAACTTGTGGTCACAATCTTGTAAGTTTTCTCGGGATCAACAGGCTCGTACTTAGGTATACTGCAGTTAGCACATAAAATTTGAAGAGTGACATTCTCAGAGCTATTTGTATTTTTGAAATCGTAGACCACTCTCATTCCTGAAGAAAAAAAAGTGATGGAAGTGTTCAGAATTAAGACAATCGGAAACACACAACAAATTATCCCTTTTTCGCAATCTCACGACCAAAGCATCGGTAACTCAGAACTTGATGCGTTATGCTTTGCGGTGATTATTTACTAATAAAGATGGGTACGCATTTGAATAACCAATTGAAGCCCTGCTGTGTGAATAGGTCCTAGCAAGGTCATAGGTTTCTGGTTTTTTCTTTTGGTCACCTACCGGAGGTCAGCGCGGGGCACAGATTGAACGCCAATTTTGCGTGCTTACAGTGTTAAAGAAGTGGGCACACCAGTTCCGGTTAAACAGCGACGCAGCACTCATGTGCCTTTACGAAAGATGAATGCACAATCTAGAGACTTTTTTTAGATATTTAAAAAAAAATGTATACATTTTTCTATTTACTGTCCATAGCGTTTTGACTGCTTTCCTTCTGTAGAAATGTTATAGGACTTTGTGCATAGATATTTGTAATGGTGTATGAAAAACAGGTAGGAATACTGACTACGTTTCTTTCGCCGTTCTATGGACAACAGGGCATTTTTTTACAAAATACATCGTGTATTTTGAACATTCATTTTAAGTTTGTCACAATCAGAGTGTCGAACCGAAATTTTTATCGGTTCGGTTCCGGTTCGGGTTCACGCCTTTCGGTTAGGTTCCGGTTCAGTTCCGAGGAGCAAAAAATAACGGTTCAAACCGGTTTGAACCGGTTCGAACCGGTTTGAACCGCTAAATTGAGAATATATTTTCCGCGTTGTTCTGCCCATATACACTATTTACCCCGTGAAACGATTAACTATATATTTTCTTCGATCGTCCGTGAAATTTACTTTTGTTTTAGGTACCAAAATATGAAATTCAGTTTTATTTTGACGCAAGGGTAGAAGAAAATCTTCTTTATATACATAACGTCGTGTTCATGCGACTCAACATCCCTTTGTTTACCAGTAACATATATTTTACCTGATTCAAAATGTTTAAGTACAAGAGTGAAGAGTTGAGCTTGTTGGTACATACCTGTAAATAGATCAGCTTGAAATTTAGAATTATACTTTATTTTATTGTCCTTTCTTCGCGTTTAAGTAAAATTCTTAAGTTCAAGCTAATTTATTTACACGGTACGAAATATTGTTGCGAATTGTGATAGGTCGCCCAAAATACCCGTGATTGGTACAACTTTTGTCGCAGTATTAAAAGTAAAATCGTGATTCTGTTCTTGAACCATGAATTGATTACATCACATAAAAGTATGAAAGGAGTGTCTTGTGGACATATATATCACAAAATATGGTTTACGAAATATGCTTCACAATATATATGTATACGATGACGAAACAACTGAGCTTAAAGCAATGGAATTTTCAAAATGTCACAAAAGTTTTAGGATAATTCCTTTCAGCCTATTTTTTATAGAAACACCGAGCGGCAATCAAAATGCTTGTTGTTTTGACCAAAGATTGTTTACACTCCGCACCGCATGTATGCGACTAATCATGCAGCAAGGTGTAATCACAATTGTTCACTCTAATCTATACGCACCTTCGCACTCAGATCGAATCTGGCCCAAAATAACGCTTGCCCAAGTGAACATTTTCTTAAACAGAATAAGCTGGCATAGCCTGGCAGTTGAGGTTTGTTCTTGACCAGATGCCGGTCAACTTAATTTGCAAATGAGCATCACCCTTGCTAATTGATGATTTTAACGCGAGAGCGTTAAGGAGCTCATGTCGCAGAAAAGCCGAAGTCGGTGGCGTGACTGGAAAATCTTGATTGGTCGATAAGGTGATGACGTCAAAACTACATGCCCTTGCGCAAGACTTTCTAACAACCCACAATGCTCACGTGAAACGTGACATCACGCGTGGAGTGAGAGTGATTAAAACATGACATGTAATGCGAATTAAAGGTCGACGTATGCTTTGCCTTAAAGAAAACGAATCAGAATTTTAGACGGGATTTGAACCCACGACCCTTCGGTTGCGAGTCAGACGTTCTTCACTAGGCCACGCGAGACACGCTTGCATGGCAAATGAGAATGCGATGCAAACGAGGCCCGTTAAGGCTATCGCGTTCCACTTTTAAACGCGAAACTTAAGCGTCCTCCAAGATTCTTTTTTGTTAAGTAAACCGAAGTAGTATTTAACGTTCTACTCGACATGGCAGCTAATTAATTGGACACTTTCTGACGGTTTGCGTGCGTAATCGTCATACTTCCGCCGCGCGCCGTTGTTCACTTTGTTTTTGTCCAGCCCGCAGACACATAAAAGTAATATTTACCACATACAAGAGGCACTAACAGACTTCTATATGTTTGAGAAGTTATATGTGTGAGGAACACATAGTTATTTAAATTAGCTTCAAAATAAGAAATGTGTGTAAGGCTCTCCCATATCACTTACTACGAGCCTCTAGAGGATAAAAACGCCAGAAAAGATTGACAGAACACCTTTCAGACAATTTGGGGGGCATTGCTTTAGGGTGGTCGGCCCTATTTATGTTGTCAAATATTCAGTTAGTTATTAAATATATTTTTATAACGATCAATAAATTTTACTTTAAAAAGTTCACATAACCACTTGAGACCAACGAGGAAGGACGATACTCAAAACTACGCGAGCCGTGGAGTGTGCGTAAAAGTGTTTTTCTGTTTGCTGATTGGCAGTGTGAAACATAGGGTTGCAGGGTACGCTAAAAACGGCTCTGTGCTCATATGATACATTGGAAGTCAAATACGTGAATTGTAATAAAGAGAGAGGTAATTGATGGTTATTTTTCTAAATAATCCCTCACAGAACACCTTACTGCAAAAAGAGATACGTAAAGATGCACGCAATGAAATTCATACATTTACATGAATAGGGCGAAGGACAGGCAAATATTCTTGAAATCTTACTATAAATCACATTTTATCAGCTTGCATGAGCTCGAAACTTCGCGAAATACTGCCCCGAGAGGCTAATGTTATATTCGATTTTACCTGCATTTGTTTCGGGCCCTCACATTACAACACTAATCATGCGCTCTAACCTTTCTCTAGGCTGCCATATATCATTGCGAGACTGCTATAAATACTGCACAACTTTACAATTAGGACATCTATTGCTAGTGTTACGAACATCAGATTTCACCAGAAAGCTGAACTTTTTAACATGGTATGCACGTGACGCCATCACACTATAGGCTGGTGGTCATTCTGATTTCTTCTTACTGAGAAACTCGAATTCGATGGTGCAAAATGCACGCTCCAGGAGTTTCAAGCTTAGTGAAAGCCTACTATTTTAAAGGCACGTGTTATTATCCTGAGTGCATCGTCGTGATGAACGGCACGAGCGTCTGGCACGACAAAAACGTGCTTTTTGGCCAGAGCGTTATTGCACACAAAGTAGTTTCCGGTGTCACGCTTTTTGGTCTGCGCCAAAGATGAAGGGAAGAGAAACCTTTATAACACAGTAAATTTTTCAAATTAACCCCCCGCCACACACACACACGCACGCACACACACACACTTCTTTTTACAGCGGAGCTGTTAAGGGCTAGTTTCTCCAGTATCGTGTCCGTCAGCAAACAAATGATGACACTTAACTCTGGACAACTACCGCCATCTATAAGTGACAACGGCAACCGGACAACCGGCTTGCCGGTTGTCTGGTTGCCGTCGTCGCGCATAGATGGCGGCAACCTCTCCAGCCTTTCCACTCTAGCTTGCCGACTTACGGCCGGACATTACTTCATTCCCCCCATCGTATACAGCTACGCTGGTCTTCCTTCTTCACAAGAGTAGAAAGGCTGAAAGTATTCCTGAGGAATTGCCTCCTCCATTCGTCTATGCTAATTCGACAATTTTATTTGTCACTTGTTAACAGCAAACCTTCACTGCTTTTATTTTGCACCCCGTGAAGTTTAAAGTGGTCATAAAACGATATCGGGTTGGAATGTTCATGACGTTTTCGAGGCGTACTGGTCCTAGTCAAACCCAAGTATACTCGCACAGGCCGCCACTGATTCAGAAGCTTCTTTGTCGCGGTGAAATTGCGAGAATAAAATTAGACTATTTCTTTCAGTCTTGCCTTCGCAAAGATTGATGTCGTAATTGTGGGATCAAAACCACCCGCCTGACGACAGTCCAGCGCGGCTCATGGATTGGCCACGAGAACTGCGTGAGCACTGTTCATAGGCTCGTAACAATCAATGCCTCGGCGGACACTCAGCTAGTGAGTGGCTCGTGTCCAACCACTGCGGTAATGAGAACAGCCGAATTCTAACAATTCCTGGAGCTCAGCACGCGTTTTCTTCCTTTCCAACCCCAGCGCGGGGGTATGATTAACGTTGGGGGATTAGGATAGGCACCAAGCCACGTAACCGCTTCTGGCTCCGAGTTGAGGGGATGAACGATGCTGATATTTCTCTCATTTTTCGGCGATTGCCATTGCCCAGAAAAAAGAGCAAAGCCAAGTGCAATCAGCTATTAACGTTAGGGAGTGATTCTGAGTTGTATTTAGTGATGTATAGAAATCTTTTTATAGCTTCTTTAAGCAAAATACAGAGGGGGTCAAAACTTGGGGAATAACTTGAGAACTGAATAACAGGCTGAAGTTGAGCTAGGTGGTACATAATTTAGGTAAATGGTTCTAGCTGACCATTTACCTAAACTTGAGAACGGCGCTCGTGTGAGACTTACAGCGAATGCCAAAGTTCGGCTGTCTAACTAAAATATTTTTTTTTTGTAGGCATTCCTTCCGCACTCACATGCAGTTCTATGTAACGTCCTATTAATAAGTCGCATCTAGTTATTCCAATACTTCTATTCTCGGGGACATATTTAGGATGCAGTTCAGCAACAACGAAAAAAATGTTTGAGTGCCTCAATAATGTAAAATTAGTCTTGCAACATTTTTTTTTTGTGCTTTCAATAAATGCTGTTAGAAGTGACCCCTGACGTTGTTAGCTTGCGAAAAAATTCATTAGTTTTCTTCTCCGCGCAATAGCAGATGCAGAAAAAATAAAGGAATGAAACAGCTGTCGATTCCCTCCTCAACTCGCAACTTTGAACAAGCGGCCAGGTGATCTGACTCTAATTATATACCGTCAGTGTTCGTCATAGGCATGCCCTAGGCGGCAAGGGTTTGGAAAGCAAAAGCGTAGGCTGAGCTTCAGATATTGTTAGAGTTGGGCTAGTATCATATTTAATTGAACATGAGCCGTTACCCGAATGTTTGGCGATGCTGATTGTCATGAACCCGAGCACTCGACTAGGGGTTATGAAAATCACTTCTGTCACGGTGTCACGTGACTCTCGGTGCAAAATTGTGATGTCATGTTACGTCACGCTGTCAACAAGGTTAATACATCTATAGTCAGTTACAGGTTAAGAAGGTAGCGGCAGATGCCCCTCAAAGGGAATCAGATATCCCTCCGCCACCTCCGCATCCAATAGCGTCCCACCGTTTCCGTGACGCCGCGGCCAACGCGCGAGGAGGGTCTTGCCTTTCTGTACATATTTGCTTTATCTTTCGAGTTTGACTTAGCACTGTGGAAGCCACGAGAGGGAGATTAGAGTTCTCCCCCACCGACGGAAACAATTACGACTTTCGGGGATTAGCTGCCCCCCCGATGGATACAAAGGCTGCTTTCAGGGGCTCGGTTCCCTCTCCGATGAATACAAAGGTCGCTTTCTTAAAAAGTGGGATCGGAGACAAGTGGGAATCCATTGAAGCGGAACAAGGAGCGTTTCCAGTGAACTCTTCTTTCGACTGCGGAGAGATTTGAAACGGGCGCATCACACTTGTGGGAGGAGCTTCTCCTACCTTCTTGACTTGTAACCGACTATAGTGAATTCCTCAAATTAAATCGAGTTGACGCAGTGAGTCACGTGACTTCACGAGGTCACGTGACATTGATTGGCAACATGTATTGACACCATGTCGTCACGTGACAACGTGACACATGGTTAATTATAGTGCCAATACAAAAGCGCCACGAAAACTCACAATTCAACATACGTTGCAATTCTGTATATGACGATTTGATCAATAGATAGAAATACAGCCGCCAATTTTTATTCCCATATGTTCATTTTGTGATATTAACAAAAAATAAAAAAATAAATTACCTTGAACCGTTTTGAACCGGTTACCGTTATATTTTTTTTCGGTTCGGTTCCGGTTCAGTTCCAAGATGGCGGCGAATATTTCTGTTCGATTCAGTTCCGGTTCAGCTAAAAATAACGGTTCTGTTCCGGTTTTCGGTTCGGTTCGGTTCCGGTTCGACACCCTGGTCACAATGCATTCATTAAAGCATGCACACGGCACTTGCTTTGTGGACATAAGCAGACATCACAAATACACACGCCAAGCAGCACTCATAACACTAGGTCCGCAGCGCACCGGTTGGACTATCACGACGATGACTTGGAGATTTTTTCGCCGGCGTCCAATCAGCGCGCTCCGCGAACTTTCGGCTCCAATTTTGTGTTTAACGAAATCAGGGCCCCACTAATTAAGTAGTGTTGGCTGTTCCTAATTATTAGAAGGGCGTGTTACTGTGAATCAAGATTGAAGAAACAATAAAGAAGACGAGGACGACATGACTTCATTTTTCACTGAAAGATGTGGTTGTGTCGTCTTTGTCTTACTTGTTTATTCTTTCTTCAATCTAGATTGCTCCACGCCCATATATTCGCAACTCCAGCCTGCTGATCGCCCTCTCGCGGACGAGCGATGTACCAAAGAAGCGGGGAAGGTGGCGGAGACGGTTGCAGGAACCGTCGGCCTAGGTGCTGCTTTACCGCGTGGTTCTGCTTAGCGTGTTCATGCATCATGCCATTTTACCGGGAAAAGCGAGTCCGTTAAAATAAAATTGCTGTCTTCCGCTTTGCAACTTTTGAAGTTGAACGCGCTCATTGTCTCAACGCACGTCAACAACTCCGTCACCTGTAACGTGCTGCTGCCCTGACCACTTCCTATCTGTAGCCAAAGAAAAAATTGATCTTAGCACACTGACCAGCGTCGACAAGCGGCAGGCGCTTGAGAATTCCTATAAAATCTATCCCGTCTTTTCCGCCATCTTGGAGGTACCACCCCGCCATCTATAGGGCGTTGGAGTTGCGAATATCCTTCACTTGATAGGAAACCAATTGAACGAGCGTCATCAAAGAAACTAAAAAAAATCTTTCAAGTATGTTGATTTTTCTGACCAATAATTTATACGTATCGTGCTTTCCGTCGTACCGCGTACCGCGTACCGCAGCATCGACGTGACGCGTGATGATCAGTATTGCCATCCCTCTAAGATAGTTTTAGCTTCGCCATGGACGCCCGAAACCAAACTTTGAGCCATGATGTTTACAAAACTACACATAAAATCAAGAAAATATCAATAAAAAAGAGTACCTTGCGATTAAGGGACGCCGACTAAGTTAATCACACTCGTAATCATAAATTTTAAAATATTAACCGGAGTTGTCCTTTAAAGCGGTGAATACTACCTAGAGCTCCTTCAGACGAAGTAGTGTAAATTTCGTTGGACTTCACCTTTAGCCACTTAGCTATGTACAGTTCCAGACAAAGCCGACGAAGCCTCAGGGACTCGTGGTCCCGGACTACGCCCTCGCGTAATGCTGACAGTAAGATGTGCGACTCGCACCGGGTGGCGTATTTGAAAAAGCTTCTGGGGTAAGTTAATGGATCAACTCTGACCCCCTGGTGGGCTTATTAGAACGTAGATGTCTTGGAAGTGACGGTCATCGGATAATTCTGCTGGTCATTTCTACTTGTTCTTGCGGATGAAATTGTACCACGTTCTGATGTCGTGCATAAAATCAAAGTTGAAGATAGGGTGTCGTAAGATCGGGGGTGTAAAATATATGCTGCGAGGGGTACATGATCAGCAGCAAGGCCACCTTTGCTGATGATCGGATGTCAGTGCAAGCCGTGTATGGGCACCCTGCGTCCGCTAGGATCCGCTACCGATGGCCCAGTGAACAGCGCCGGGGGCGGCCACTTTTGAGTCAGCGTAGGGAGAGCGGTAGAGCCCCGCCGCCGCTTACGCTGCCCCCACGCTTCCGCCAATGTGGTAGTTTAAGGAGGCATGTCGACCTTGCGTCACCCACCGGTGTACCACTACAGTTGAGCTGCGACTGCCGAGGTAACTTCCCGATGAGTACGCGGGATACCGCCGCGAGAGGCGCGAGTTTCGGCACTGAGTTAGATCTGCGGTGTTTCCATAAGAGGATACGTCTCGTGCCAGTAAAGCAAAGCTGCTAAATGATCCAAAATCAAGAAAGAAACATGACCGAGCAAGGTACCATAACCCACTAGGAGGGAAAAGCTTCCACTTGTGACGCCTCGTAAATGAAAGGGCGCTGGCGACACGGTGACTGGCAATATGAAGATAAACGACACTTTTGCGGCACCAAAGGCGGCGTCCCGTTGCACAGGCTTCATGGAACCCAATTGCGCGAAAGGAACACTCGAAGATGAAGTTTCAGATTAAGAAAAATCTATATCTAGGTCGTGATGTGCACAAAAGTGGCCCGATCAGAGTGCCGGAACTGGCCCGATACTTGCTCCCCAAACTTCTCCAAATTCGCCATCAAGCACAGTAATTGTTTTTCGGCGTTTCTTAGTGTGTTTGGTCGTTTACAACTTTGTACTGCCTGAGGTCTCGACGGCTTCAACCTAGAAAACTTGGAGGTTATTAATTGACTTATAAGGCGAATTTAGTGCACATTATTTTTTACTCGTTGCGAAAATTAGAACTCACGGAACTTGTAGCCTCATAAAATGAACTGTTTTTAGCCTACCTGACACCTGAAGAAAGGATCCCTCGGGGTCTTTAAACCAAGTGAACTTCGATACACCATGTTCGAGCATTTTTCGCAGCTGAGTTCCGTTCATTGTGAACACCACTAGAGAGCTTTCAAATGGCATTGCGGCCATGATGTCTCTTCGGCGTATAATACCTGAAAAAATAACGTTTTTATTACGGCCAATATATGTTTTGTAAACACATCGCGCCCAACAAAATGTGCTACACATATCTTTAGAAATGTATGTTCTCTGAAAAGGTGTAAAATTATGGTTTAGAGCTGCATCAATAGATTAGGCTTAATCAAGCGTTAATGGTTTATCATATATTGTAGAATATTTGAATATGCTCTGATGTGTGTGCACTATAGCAGAAATAATTTCTTAAAAAAGCTAATGACTTTAAATTCATAATGGGGTCCTAGCTATTAAGGGTGGTATATAAATGTATTGCGTAGGAACCTATCTTCTCGATATTCATTTGTTTTAAAAATTATTTTAAGTTAACTTGCTATATATGGCTAAACAATTTTTAATGGATAACAAAGGAGTCAGAGCATCATGCTAAAAACTTAATCCGATGAACTATGTGCTCAGAAAGACTTGTACCTTGACCTGCATTGTACTTAGCTGTCAGTTAGGCTATAGACAGCCGCCTAGTTTACGTTACCAAGCGGGAAATCCTTTCACGTTCAGATTTCGTGTGAGGCGTGGGCGTTGGCGTGCAGCGCTTCGGCGTGCACGAACGGTTTTACCATTGTTCTTCCACTTTTATAGGTCCTAATGACGGAAGCTTGGGAACATCCGACGAGCTTCGAAGTTTGCAAGATACATGTCCGGAGCCGTAAAAGAAACACGATCTGCCCTTTGTCAAAGTTGCTTAGATCAGCAACCTTTCCTTACACATGCCCACGTGGTCGATAATAAAATACCTCTGCATCCCTGGCAGCAATTAACCAGGGGCGGATTCAGAACTTTCTTTCTTGTTTGTATGTTTTTTTTGTTTTTGTTTTTTTTTTGGGGGGGGCGGAAAAATTTGTAAGGAGACTGTTCTCCCATTCGACAGAGTGGTTCTCTAAATTCAGAGCTCAAGTGTGCCTACTAGGGTGCGACCTACCCTATTTCGGACCCTCGTACTTGAGTACCGAGCCTTCTGCCACCTGCCAAGCCGGTAATGGGTTTTATATCGGGGGGAGGAGGGGGGGGGGGAGGATCTCGGGGGTTTACGTATGTCAAATTGCCCTCCGAGAAGGGGAAGGGGGGGGGGGGGGGGGGCGGCCGCCCCCGTCGCCCCCCCCCCCCCCCCCCCCATTGAATCCGCCCCTCCCATTAACTAACATCCGCATCAGCAGATGGTGTATAACGCGGATGGCGCGTAGCTAGATGCGCTAATTCACGCAGTTTAGGGCTTTTAATGTTGTGTTCATCACTATATTTTTATTATGGTTTTCCAGTCCTTTTTTATTGACTCGTCTTATTCAGTTTAAACGACAGTCTATGTCTATAAATGAAAATGAATCAATAAAGTAAGTGTCTAGTGAATTGATCAAATTTTCCAAAAACAAATGTCAAAACAAGAATGCACTTCTTACACCCACTCGAACGATTATAATATATGCACTAAGCACTGTAAAAACATTTTTCTACCTTGCTGAATAGACGTCCTGGTGATGCCAGCATTCACAACAGCAGCGTTAACGTTCGACCAGGCTTTGGGAGTAGTGCTGTTCCTATCAGCGTAATAGGCCAAAAACGAGTCGGCGATGAGATTCACCATGTTGCATTCTTTCAGACGGCAGGTCTTGTTGTCCGCTTCCAGCTCAACCTTGGAAATTCCGATGTATTCTTCGCCCGCCTTCCGAACCTCCTCTTTGAACGGTTCCAATATCTCAAGCATGCATTTATCTGTTGCAAACAACACGCGTTTCATAAGAAGAATTTTGAACATCAGATACATATTTGAGGTTATCAATATTAATATTAGACTTATCGCTCAGCCATCATTGTTTTTTTATAATACGTTGTTGCGGTCAACATAAAATGAATCACAGAACTACTTATAAAGTGGTGATTTAATACATTGTAGTGTTCCAATCATTCTACGTAACGCAGAAAAGAAAATTATGACTAGGTATATTTTAACCTCTGAAGTATAAGTTATTTTGTGGAAACGCTAATTTGACAACAAGATATATTTTATATATCAAGCCATGAAAACATGTTGAGCATTGATGATTATAAAACGGGCCATTAAAACACGAATATGCCTTCACGTGCAATAGTCGCATTCCCGCGATTGAGGGCATATTTGTGTTCTGAGGACGCTCCTGGAGACATGGTCACTTCATCTACACTGGCCTCACCAATGATGAGGGGGAGGCAACGAACGGAAAAGTACCCGAAATATGCCGATGTATTTTTTCTAGTCAAACGTCTCGTGAATGCAGATACTGGAGACCAACCGAGTCGCAAGCGCTGCTGAAAAATATTCCGGTGGCTTACTGCGGCTATGCCAGGATATACGTAGCGTGAGCTTATGCGCACAAAATAAGAGGCGCTATCAAGCGGCTCCGGTGCAGCGTCAGACTTGGCTACTGCGCAACGGAGGCGCACAGCTGGGCACGTGGCGGTGCCAGTGCGTCTGCCGTGGCTATGGCGTCACCCCTCTGGAATGCGCAGACCGGCGAGGCGCGCGCGGCGGCGGCGGAGCGCGCGGCGGCGGAGCGCGCGGCGGCGGAGCGCGCGGCGGCGGCGGCTCCGGCGCGCCAGCTGTGCGCCGTGTGACGTCACTGCTCTTCGCGCTTGCACAGCACGGCTCTCTGGGAGCCACGCGAAACTGCTCAACCTCGGCCAGAGTAGCTCACGCTACAAAATAAAAATGGCTCAAGGTCCACCTAAGCACTTCTTATGACTTGTGAATGCGAAAGCATGCACGCCGCTCTTCCGCTCTTTTCATTCGTGTGCGGTGTACTTGCGGCGACGGTCGAGCACGCGCGCTGTCCTCGGCGCGCTGACCTTGGGCGTCGAGCGGTTCTTCCGCTGCTTTGGTTCGTCTGCGGTGCACTGGCGTGGACGGCCACGTTTCGCTAAAGCCCAGGTTCCGGCCGCCGACAATATAGATGCTTCAAACGCTGCCATGTTCCTCGGCGTCGAGAGGAGCAGAAGCAACCGCAGCGCCCCCCCCCCCCCCCCCCCCCCCCCCCCCTTTTTCGGTGACGAGTGACGCGAGAGCTAAAGCACTATATAGCTCTTTCGGAGCAGAGTAGCGTAAGGCCCCTTTATAAGAAAGGTAGCGACCTCTCCTCCCTCCTCTCCCTCTTTTTTGTCTGTCGCCCTCGAGCGTCGACGGTGGCGCCGCATGGATTGCTCCCAGCTAGCAGACGCTCTCGCTTGGGTACAATGCGGCGGAAGGTTGTTTTCGTTAGTTTTCGTGTTTCGCGATTGCATTTCTGTCGGGAGTTCGACAGTTTAACGCATAATTGACTACAGAGACTTCCGAAATATCAGCAGAACGACTTGACGGCCTGGAAAACGTGAACTAGGGCGAAAATGGGCACGCGATGCGTGCACGGTCTACGCTACTATGCTACCGGAGTGAGGCTCTGTTTCGCTCCTGCGCGATCAAATTCGCCTACTAGCGCAGCAGCGAACTCTAGTATGTTGCGCAGTGACTTTGGTACGATTGAAGGCAGTGTATTTGTATTACCGCACGCGTGCCCCAGACGCAAAAAAGGGAGATCACACGCTCGTTCTTTCGTCGCTTCGTAAGGGAGGCGAGACGTGACAGCTAAGCACGAAGCGATTGCTGTTTTTTTCTTTCACAACTGACGCACTCTCCTCAAAGCGACTGTACTTCGCCTCACCTTAACATAGACCAACCAAGAGGCTACAGACGTGAGCGGGCAGCTTTGAATCGGGCTCCCGCTGCACGAGCGTTCACGCAGCCGACGCGCGATCGAACGTAAGGAGCCTCCACTTGTAAACTTTGCGCTTAGTTCATGTTAAGCAGAAATTTCTGTGGTCTAGATAATAATAAAAAAAGAAATGTGTTCCTTTCTAACGATACCCGTCCTTGGCGTGCGCGACGTGTCTTAATAGTTGCGCAAAAACAATCTACTAACATTTGATCCCTATTGCTGCAAATGCGCGGTTGGGAATCTTCACTTTCTCCTCGGCATAACAAAACCGGAATGTTCTGCGTAAAAGAATCTTAGCAGAACGAGCGAAAACCCAAACTATCCTCTAACACCTACAACTTTTCAAAGCTTTATGGTTTTGAAAATGTCTTGTGATGCCTTGTGTGTACTTTGTTTTTACCAGACATTGTCAGCTTCCTCGGCTCATTACAAAGACTTTGTAAGCTTACTTGGCTTAATGGAGGCAGGGCATTATCTCTTCACAGCAGTGAACCCTTTATGGACTGTCGTTTCCCCAACTAAAATAATCTCGTTTTATTCAGCGATGACATGGAACAATCTTGGCTCCTGAAAGCATTTCTTTATTATTGCAAATAACCGCCACATAGGCCTCCAAGTTCTGCTGCCAGTGAGTGTAAAAATACTAAAGAAAAATGAAAGCCGCTTACAACTCCCTGTAACGCCGAATTAGAGCGCAGCTCTTGAGGAGGAGGAGGGAAGGGCACTGGGGGGGGGGGGGTGTTAAACTAACCAGGGGGGGGTCACGTTACCTTGGGGGTCACGTGACCCCCAATGCCGATGATGTCATCACTGACGTCACTGATGACGTCATCAGTGACGATGACGATGCGGGTACCGATGACGTCATTAGTGACGTCACTGATGACTTCACCAGTGATGATGACGATGACGATGCGAATGTCGGTGACGTCATTAGTGACGTCGCTGATGACGTCATCAGTGATGATGACGATGACGATGCGGATGCCGGTGACGACATCAGTGACGTGACTGATGACGTCATCAGTGATGATGACGATGACAATGCGGATGTCGGTGACGTCATCAGTGATGATGACGATGACGATGTGGATGCCGGTGACGTCATCAGTGATGATGACGATGACGATGTGGATGCCGGTGACGTCATCAGTGATGATGACGATGACGATGTGGATGCCGGTGACGTCATCAGTGATGATGACGATGACGATGCGGATGCCGGTGACGTCATCAGTGATGATGACGATGACGATGTGGATGCCAGTGACGTCATCAGTGATGATGACGATGACGATGTGGATGCCGGTGACGTCATCAGTGATGATGACGATGACGATGCGGATGCCGGTGACGTCATCAGTGATGACGATGACGATGTGGATGCCGGTGACGTCATCAGTGAAGATGACGATGACGATGTGGATGCCGGTGACGTCATCAGTGATGATGACGATGACGATGTGGATGCCGGTGACGTCATCAGTGACGATGACGTCATCGGGGGGTCACGCGACATCGGCGGGGGTCACGTGACCTCGAGGAGGGGGCCACGTGACCTCAGGGGAGTCACGTGACTTCGGGGGGTCAAGTGACCCCCCACGAGGTCACGTGACCTTGGTGGGGGGCTCGCGCGGTGCATTATGGGACATTTCCCATGATGCACCGCGCGGTTACGCCGACGCCGACGGCGACGGCGACGCCGACGCCGACGGCGACGCCGCTCAAGCCGGAAACGGGCCCCTAAGAGCTGCGCTCTAAAAAAAGACTAAAACGAAAATTAAGTCACAGGTAATGCATATTTTTATTTTACAACACACCAATTCACAAGGACGAGCACAAGGCTACTTTTCACCGAGTTGCTTCGCTGTGCTCAGACCGCTTGTGAGGGCCTGAGTCACAATTCATAGAGGATTATACTAATCCTGTTAAAATCTAATTCGTGCCATATGATCGCACTGTAGAACAGCGAAGAGCAACTGTGTGAAGCAGCCTGTCTATGTAGTCGTCTATAAGCTCCACCTCCAGGCCAGCACTAGCTTTTGCTTTTGATAACAAAGAGATTGCACAGCGAAATGATAGCAGACGGCAACAGGTGTGTGCTAAAGACGGAGCTTCTGCTTCTTCTGCACTCACTGACGAGGTACATGAAAACATCAAGACACGTATACTAGAAGTTGAATCTCAGCCATGGCACACACTGTAAAAAATTTCCGTAATTTTACTAACACTTTTGTCGTAATTCTGACGGACTCTGTGTCCGTTTCTTAGTTAACGGACATAAAACCCGTTTTTTGCTATATCGAACCAGCAACTTTTTCCGTAAAATGGGGCAAAAATTGTTTGCAGTGATAGGTAGAATAAAATTGCATACAGTTGTGTGTCAGTGCATACTATAGTAGAGGATAAAAGCGTTAAATGTGCTTTTAACGTTTAATCCTGTTAAAAGCAATTCCTTATAGTAAAGAGGCGAAGGGCTACCAAGAATCCTACCGTACCCTGCAAAAGGAACAGATAAAAGGGGCGATGGAAAAAACCGAATAGAAATTAGGTAAAAGTTCATAATTCCCAGTAAAGCGCATAGACACTGCTTCACTTCACTGAGGGTGAAGCTGACGAGTTGCATGTCTACAGAAGTTTTCGACCTTGTGATGATTGTTAGGGGGGTTCTGCATGAGTGCACAAAGAGAGATTGCCAGAACAGTGAAGACCACACCAAGAAGGAATGTTGTTGCTCTATGGTAGGAAACGGTTGAAAGGCACCGACACAATTCTTGCGAACAACTCCCTTCAGTGCTGTCACGTGACCTTGCAGTTCCACAACGTTGTCTAGGAGGAAGAATAAGATGACCCACTTAAGGGCCACACTTGAGGTCACCTCTGGTCCACCAGTAAATGGCCAAAATTCCAGCCAATGTCAGAGCAGTGAGTGATCCGTAGAGAGCTTGGCTGCCGAAGAATAGCGTAAGCTGCCCCCTTTTGCTGAAC